AATAAACAACTTACGTTCGGCATTTGCGGCTTCTGTATCTGGCTTATCGCTGTGAGTTTCATGTGAAACTTTTTCTGCTGTTGAATAGCGATAATCGAAATTAAATTCACTACCGAAAAATCATCACGAAGGAACAAACTATACTTACGATTTCCTTCGTCTGTTTTTTTCTTTTGCACAAATAATCTTTTTAAACCTTTAATTTTGTCACTATTTTGCGACATTTCTTAAACTTATTTTTAACAAGTACGAAACAATTATGAAATTCGAAATAGCTACTGGAATAAATTGTCAAATGTTTGAGATTAACAATAACAAACTTGCGCCGAATAACACTTGTGTCGCGACTCAAAGCACCGTTAGTAATAATTACAGCATCGTGACAATACTTGCAGCTACTTGCTCAGTATTCAGTACCTCAATACATATGAAAATTATGCCAATAATTATTCCATCAATATTTAGAGTTTTTGCTGTGTGAGACAATGCTCGATGCAGAGTTTTCTATACATACACATAATTCATGACAATACAAAAATACAATTACAGCAACGATTTTCGCTGATATGCAGCACTTCGTACGCAATACATTTATATTATTCATGTGAAAATCATACCTAAGGTGACCAACTCCTTTCCTGGCAAATTCCGTACAAATGAGTGAAATTTACCTTAAAAATCCGTATAAATCCGTACACTGAAAAAAAAATCCGTACACTAGAAAATGCAGTAAATGAACGATTTTTTTTTCGCATTGTAGATTCTTATTATTAAATCACAAACTCGCATCAATCGACATATTTAAGTCTTGAACTTCATCTTTTTCATTATTTTTTGAAATCATATTTATCTTGAGAACAAATCTTCTTTAGCAAATCTTCATTGTTTTTCAAAATATTGAAAAATTCAATGCATGTGTAATCTAAGTTTGATTTAACGAATAATATTGCTTTCAAAGTCTCAATCTTCATTTGCGATGATTCCGTTTTCCAAGTGTTCGTAACGTCAGAGAATATGCGTTCAGTAATTGCGTTAGCTCCCGGTTTACTTTTTGGTTTTCTGAAAATCGATTTCAGTTGTTTGCGCTATTGGCCTTGAGTTGATGCAAACTCATTTTTTCAGTAAAAAGACGGAAGAACTGAAAACCAAATGAAATAATAATCATATATTTGATGCTTGAATTGTTCGAAATAATTCTGTGTATAAGTTAAAGATGAATTATGCGAATTTCAGATTTTTTTCATACATTTTTTTAGATTTTCATGCAGTTTTAAAAATCCGTACAAATCCGTAAAATTCCGTACAAATCCGTATGAGCGAAAAAATCCGCAAACGAATCGAAAATTCCGTACGATACGGAATAATTCCGTACGGTTGGTCACCTTAATCATACCTAATATCGATCAAAGAGAACTCACACATTTGATTTGCGCGCGACTTATTGTCTGTATTTGTTCAGTTTGGCAGTTCTGAAATCTTGGCTTGCTTTAGCGCGATTTTTAAATTTTTGTTATGTTTTTTCTTCATTTCCTTCGATTTCGAAGCTGCCCGAATCGCATTTCAGGGCTGCCCGTTCTGATTTCAGAACTGCCCGTTTGAGCCGGAACTGCCACTAAAATACGCCGTGCAATAAGGTATAGGTAGGATACGATGACATTGGAACAAATCTACGCATTTCCTTAAAAAATTACAAGCGAATCTCATGCAAAACCAAATCCATACTCAGTAACACTTTCCATAGAAATATAGACAGCTCCTCAATTAGTTTGAAATTCCAATGAACACACACGGAAAGAAATACTTCTAAAATCCAATACAAATCACATAAAAAAGAAAAAAAATCTGTCACTGTCGCACCAACACCGCCAACTTTTTGTTTCCATGAAATAAATTATTCGTAGTGGTAAACAATCCATGGCACAGATCCGAGAAAAAAATCACTAATACTAAGAAAAAACTTGTTCCGTGTATGTCATAGGACACTTGCGAAGATCGAAAAATGTATTTATTTTATTAAGTTTATCAAGCACTTTTCAAGAAGTATTTACCTAGCATCGAATTTTCGTTCAAGCTTTACTATCTAAATACGGTCAAACTAGTTATAATGCCATCGTTAGATGACGTTTGTTCTGGTCAAAAGCTTGAAGGTCCTCCGTGGTGTGCGTTTTCCATATTATCGCTAAAATGTTATTTTATCTCATTAAATCAAGAATATTAAAAAAAATTATTGATTTTGAAATGAAAGCCGATTCGGTCTGTGTTCTAATCAATCATTTATTCTAAATAAATGCAGAAGTTTCAAGTCATCTTCAGGGCCTAAAAACACAACCCCTGCACCACACTAACAAAACAAAGTAAAGCACGAATTTGCGATGAGCGCATTCAGTAAAGATCATTTCAATTCTTTACGTCGTTAGACGCAATCATGAACGCGACAAATTGAACGCATCAACAATGTTCCGTAATGAAAAAAACATTTTTTACTTATAAAATTGATGTTTATCACGTGCTACGCTCTCACAAAAATCAATTTTCCACATTCGTGGCTTTTGTCTACTTTATTAACAAATATAAAAAAGATTCAATAATACATTGAACGATCTGTGTCACAACTTTTGACACTTGTCTTGTAGCGCTAGAAGTGAGCTGTCAGACGCTTAGATGCAGGACCTTCGCCTAAAAACAACAATGTTTTGGTTTCAAGGATACTATGACGATGCAAGCGTAATAATGGGCTGTAGTATTCTACATTGGTGGTGACAGTGGATAAATTAAAAAGCCTCACATTTCTCAGAGAGCCCAAATCCAACAAAATATAATTCTAATATTTAATACCGTAAGCAATTTAATAGACAAATAACTGGAGTTATTTTTTTGACAGAATAATAATCGATAATCGAGTATGGGCATAGAAAAAAATCATCCGATTATTCAGCTAAATTAGTTCAGCCATTCGCCACCTGAAAAATACACATCGATCAAAAAGATCAAACCAATTTCTTATTTAATGAAAATAAATATCCTACATTACCATTGTCAGCAGCGTTCAATTATCAACTTTCTTTCCTTCACCGATAAAAAGTCTAGCGACATCATTGTGACCTGAAAAATAATAATACAGATCAATGAAAAAGGTCCAAACAGTATCTTATTTAGTCAACATTACGATTGTGAACAGCTGATTGAAGTGGTGTCCAATTGAAATAATCTTTAAAATTCACGTCGGCTCCGTTATTGATGAGCTCTTCAGCGACATCCTTGTGACCTGAAAAATGTTACAGATCGACGAAAGAGATCAAAACAATTTATTATTTAGTGAAAATAAATATTCAACATTACCTTTCATGGCTGCTAAATGAAGAGGTGTCTGATTAAATTCATTTCCAATATTGACTTTAGCTTCTTGGCCGATAAGAAGTTTAACAATATCCTTGTGTCCTGAAAAATAACACAGATCAATGAAAAAGATCAAATCAATTTCTTATGTAGTGAAAACAAATATTGAACTTCACCATTCTCAGCGGCTTAATGAAGAGGTGTCCAATTCAAATGATTTCCGATATCAACATGGGCTCCCTTACCGATGAGCTCTTTAGCAATATCGGAGTGACCTGGAAAAAACAGATCGATGAAAAAAATCAAACCAACTTCTAGCCTCTATAACAGTTATGAGAAAAAAGAGCGTCACATGGGTACTGAGTACTTCTACTGTTCGAACTAACACAGAAACGCACACATTATAGTAGCTCTCTATGTACATGATTCTCTGTTTCTGCAAGTAGTCCCCAAGTGGCACTTTATTTTTCTAACTTAACTTTTCCTATCTGTTTATAGAGGCCCATAGAAGTTGCTAAATTCTTATTTAGTAAAAATTAATACTCAAAATTACCTTTCTTAGCAGCATAATGAAGAGGTGTTAGGTTAGATTCATCTCCAATATTGACATTGTCTGCTTTACGAATGAGCTCTTTAGCGATATCCTTGTTACCTGAAAAATAACACAGCTCGATGAAAAGTATTAAACCAAGTTCATATGTAGCGAAAATGAGCCGGAGACAGCAGTCGCGAGTGATGAAAGCACCCTAGTGCTGGAAGTCCAACACACGTCTATATACACGCAATTTCGAACTTTTTTTTAAATTATCATTGGCAGCAGTTAAATGGAACTGTGTTCGTTCGATGAAAAACACAGATCGATGAAAAAATCAAACCAACTTCCAGCCCCTATGACAGTTATGAGAAAAAAGAGCGTCACATGGGTACTGAGTACTTCTACTGTTCCAACTAACACAGACACGCACACATTATAGTAGCTCTCTATGTACATGATTCTCTGTTTCTGCAAGTAGTCCCCAAGTGGCACTCTATTTTTCTAACTTAACTTTTCCTATCTGTCTATAGAGGCCCAGAGAAGTTGCTAAATTCTTATTAAGTAAAAATTAATACTCAAAATTACCTTTCTTAGCAGCATAATGAAGAGGTGTCCGATTCAAATGATCTCTAACATTAACGTCGAATCCATTTTTGATGAGCTCTTCAGCGATATCCTTGTGACCTAACAAATAATACAAATCGATGAAAATGATCATTTTCTATCGATAATTTCTTTTTAAATAGAAATAAATATTCAACATTACCATGGTAAGCAGCTCTGTGCAGAGCTGTCTTTGTGTCTCTTTTGTTCACTGAAAATTGAAAATGAAATGATAGATCAGTGTAGTGAAAAAGAATGTCTTAATTGTCCGCGAAATGAATTTTTCCACGCACTCTTGTGTGTATGTGAATGTGTGTCTCAAGACATCAATTTTGACATTTCAGAATTCTGAAAGCTCTTTACAAGAAAATTCGTGATAACTAATAGTAGATTCTCAGCAATGTGGTCATAAATCAGGCAGAATCATTGTATATATGGTCGCGGTTGCGTAAGACGAAACCACTGAAAAAAAGTTAAAAGTGAAGAAAAAATGGTCTTGAAGTTATTAGATTGCTATGAAATTTTGCACCAAACTATTAACTCATAAACTCAATATATTCTGAGAATTTCATGGAAATTGGATTATTTTTACTTTTCCGCAAACTTTGTTTGTATGGAAAAATATTGGTTTTACTAGCCAAAATTTCATGACATCTCCTCTTTCGGACCACTATAACGTCACGCCAAACTTCAAAAAGCACATATCTGTACA